AAAAAAAAGTTTTCAACCATACTGTAAATCGTACAAAACAGTTGCAAACTGAGCAAAAATATACCATAAGTTACAAAAAAATAATAAAAACTATACCAATGTCGTAGAATGCCAAAATAAAACGAAAATGACGAAATTGTAAAGAAATGAACTTGAAGACTAGATTATTCGCCAAACCATATTCTGTGCCATTTGCTCAACCCTCATGACCACGTAGATTTCATAATGAAAAGAACTTTTTTTTGCAAAACTTTTTTTTATTCGCACGCGTGCATCAGTTTTGGGGGCTCCCGGAGGATGTCATCCATATAATCAAATCAACATGGCCTAAGTTCTAACACCAGGTAAGGCCATGTTGATTTGATCATATGGATGACATCTTCGCGCGCGCATAAATTTTCGTCCGTTTCCAAAAAAAAGTTTTCGATAATACTGTAAATCAAAGTAGCTGCAAAGTGATCAAATATATACTGTAAATTGAAAACAAAATGTTGGAAAACGATACTTATGTCGCAGAGTGCCAAAATTCAGTCCAAAGGACAAGAAGAAAATGTAAAGGAATAAAAATGAACGGTCTATTATTCACCATGCCACTACTCTGTGTGTTTAGTCATTTGGTAAACCTTCATGACCACATAGATTTCAAAATGAAGGCAACTTTTCTTTTGCCAAACTTTTAATTTTGTTTCGCACGCTCGCATCAGTTTTGGGGTTCCCAGAGGATGTCGTCCATATAATCAAATCAACATGGCCTAAACATGGTGTTTTGTTGTATTTTAAACCGGGGGTATTAGCGTAAGTGTGTTCTCCAATCTATCATTCTGACAACCAAACAATGTACACCAGAAGGATATAAAAACCACACAGTTTTGACACTGTTGAAAAGAAGTGTTTTGTTTCTTATATCGCCACTGCTGAGTCATAGATTCTTGAGAAAGCATACGGCACTTCCTACTTGAAATTATATAGTTGCAACAACAAAACATTTTAACGGATGCAACTTTTATTCTGAATTCAATGCGTAATCCATCGATTTGGAAACATAGGACTCATCCAACGGAAATCTTGCATCTTTATAATGTTTCATGATTCAGATGAAAATAATTTTGATTTCACAATAATAAGTTGTTGATCTGTGCGTCTACCACTCAATATGCACTCTTCAGAAATTGTTATAGAGGAAATGGCAAGCATATGACTCGTACTATTACGTTCTGATTTTTGATGATTCAAATTATATGATTTCCGTTGTGAAATAACACAAAGAGGTGCTTTGCCATGACTAACGTCGAAACTAATTTTTCCGTCTCGTATACGGCTGTCGCCATTTGAAACGGTCAAAGCCATTTCGCAGAACGGCAACTCTAAGTACTAGTATATTATAATTAGAATGCCGTCTTAAACAACTTGATGTTTCGTGGCGTAGAGGGTTAGGAATTTTGGCAATTGGACCAGCTGGGTTTGAATCTGAGCTTGTGATCTGTCTTTTTTTTCCACTGAAATCGTTACTATTTCTGAACGATGCTGTCATTTGCAATTTTGAAATGTTGTTTTTTTTAAGTGGGGCCGTGTGGCGTAGCGGCAGTGTGGTCGACTCGGAACCAAGAGGTCCCGGGTTCGAGTCCTGACATGCCACCGATCTTGTGTGCCCCTGGGAAAGGCACTTTTCACGACTTTCCTCACTTAACTCAAGTGAAAATGAGTATTGTCTTCCTGTATTCGTCCTCTGCGTTGGTGGCGGCAGAAAATAAGTCGATATAACTTGAGTGTGCCGCGAAATGTTGGAATAAAAAAAGTAACAGTACAACCGTTTTAATATGAGCCTGAAACGCGCGACGTCGAGCCCTCTACTTTCTATCTAATTAGCTGAGTGAACTGTAAACCGATCCTTCTCTATACGCTGATTAAAACCCGTGACTGGACGGCTGTGAACCGAGGGATTTCCTCAAGTGCTCTCCACGTCCATTTGCACGACATTTCGGCGACCGAAAACCAGAATAAATTGATTCGGCAAACATTCGGCCATTTCCCGAAGGATCGTTGATTGTAGTGAAGTGCTACCCGACCAGGTCTAGTGCAGCCCAAGTTGGTAACCACTTTTTGCCTCCGGGGGAGGAGACATCCTTCCGCGGAAGGGCTTTGTGAGAGATTTAGATTTTCACGTTCGCAGCGGTTTCTAGCGTTTGGGTGGACGGATTCTTTTGGGACTCAGTATATGTTTTGCTATTGGGCTGTAGATGATGCACGTTCTTTTGTTTTTATTGTTTATGTGTTTTCGGGCGGGAAAATGGTGCCTTTTGGTAGCCCCAGAACACCCCTTTGAGCGTGAAAGTGGTCGCGACCGTTGACCTTTGGTGTGTTTGAAGTATTCTCGGTCGGGTCCACTTGTATGAACTTTCGCACAGAGGGGTGTCCTAACAGATAAAATTTAAACACCATCAATTATTCATAACAAACAACATATAAGAATATACACTAAAAAGTCCGGAGGTATAAAATCTCAGATTTTCTTGTTGTCTATATGTTTACCAACGTTTTCTTCCTAAGTCAGGCTATGTTGATTTGATTATATGGATGAAATTCTATGGGAACCCCAAAACTGACGCGAGCGTGCGAACAAAAAAAAATTGTCCAAAAAAAGGTTCCTTCATTATGAAATCTACTAAACGTGGTCATAAAGGTTGAACAACTGACTAAACACACAGAGTATGGTATGGCGAATAATAATAGATTCTTCATTTTCATTTCGTCACATTTTATTCTTTTTCTGAATTGATTTCGGCATTCTATGGCATTAGTATCGTTTTCTAATACTTTTGTTTTTGCAACATACGACCATGTATTCTCTCATTTTGTACGATTCACAGTATGGTCGAAAACATATTTTGGAGGGGGGGGCGGACGAAAATTCATGCGCGTGTGGATGTCATCCATATAATCAAATCAACATAGCCTGATTTGAAACACAAGTATCGGGCTGATATTCCGAAGAGTGATCTCTACTGGTTGCCAGAGTAGTGTTCATTGATTTTAGCTATGTAAACCTACACCCACACTGTGTGTGCAATAATCACTATGCCATGGCAACGGCCGTCAACAAGCCTCTACACATGACTCATACAGTGTGTCTAGCCTCCACCAGGCCTTTCTAAGGGAATACGGATCATAGAATTCGGCAAAAAAGAGAGTAAAATTGTCCAGGGGAGTCCGGCCGCGGGAAGATTGTTTCTCTCCCTCCGCGGCCAGTCAAACCCCAAGGCGGCCA